GGATGAGCTAGCTAAGACAGTTCAGTTTGACCGATGAGCTAACAAGCTCCGTGGATGTGGCAAAGGTATGATCTAGCAATGTTGCTTAGTTCTAGATAGAATGGTTAGGTGAATGGAACCTCGGATTTTGTATGACTTGGTTTGGGTTCAGCATCGACCTTGGAGCTATCTGGTAGTTGAGTATACTGACCAGTAGCTGAGGTGATGTGACCAGACAAGTGTTAGATTGGTTTTAGACCAATGATTAATTTGATGTTGTTCCGCTGTGCATAAGTTCAAAGGATCTAAGCTAGGGAGTGACTAAGGTAGTCTTGAGCTAGGATCTGAGTTATCCCTCGCCTATGGGCGATGTTTTAAATAAAGGGCGAAATTTTTAGAGGTTCGGTCAGGGTATGGACCGAGCGACGTGAGGCATCGACCGCGACCTAGTCGGCCGGATCGGGTCTTACAGGTACGTTTGGATTATTATGGGGATTCCCCCTGTCCAATTGTTCCTTGTCTCTCTTTGAGGCGCTGGATTATTCTTTGTGTTCCACTCTTCTATACCTGGGAGCCTCAGTCTGATTGTTCCTGTACTTTGAGCTAATTCTGTTCCTGGCATCGGCACTAGTCAGGTTGTTACGATGATAATCCTCATGTCTATAGCTAGTTGCGCGGCTAGCACGGTACTGCCAATCTCGCGGGGGAGCTTTGTAAGTTCTCCTTGACTCCGCTTCATGGTCATAACGAGGTTTGCGTCTTTCCTCTAGGGTTTGTCTAGCATCATGTCGTTGCAAGCTATTTTTATGCTGATGGTTGTCTCTCCCTTCTGCCTCATTTCTTTTGGAGGCCGTGAAACGGAAAGACTCAGAAGTTCCAGAGGGAATTTTTTGTATCTCCTTACCAACATTGTTGATTACAGAGTCCTTTGTAGAGATAGCTTGCTTCTGGAGCTCTCTGGCTTTGTGCTTTGCTACAAGACAGTCCTTGAACTCATGGTCCAGACGAAGGCATGTCGAGCAGTGTTTTCCTAATCTTTCGTAAATGAAAGAGACAGCCACCTCTTCTCCATTTGGGTATTCGATAACTGAGGTTTTTATCAAGGGTAGCAGGCCATTAACCTGCACTCGCATTTTCACATAGAAATCATTGATTTCTGCTAGTTCAAATATCCCAATATCTTTTCCTAGGCTCTTAATAGTCTCTTCAGACCACAGGTGAATGGGTATTCGTTGAACCTTGATCCAGAAAGGAATAAGAGATGGGAAAGAGGCTGCAGTAGTAGGTTCCCATCTTTGTAAAATAACCATCCATTTAGCATAATGGTAAGGTCTTTTTTCGAGAACAGCAACCAAATCTGGCTCGCTTTCAAACTGGAACTGGAATAAACCATTTCCTAAATCTGAGCCCACTGGGCATCCATGAGGTTTCCACATCTCAGTGAAAAAGGGGATAAGTGACCAGACCTTTTGAGCTGAGCGATTCATCACTCTTCCAATTAGTGTGAGAGAGAGTTTGTTGAAACGATCGTTGTTGAAACGATCGTTGTTGACTGGAACTTGAGCTTTAACCCGTCCAGAGCGTGGGGGTTGTGACGAGTCCACGGCAATCCCTTTTCCTTTTGCTTCCGAAGTTAGTCTACCTTCCATAGTTGAATCTGAACAAAAATTTTCAGATCTAGGGCTATTGAAACTAGAGGACCCAGCAGCAGATGGGAAATGATTTTCTTTTGTTTTGGACAGGATTCCCTGTGTCAACAAGCTTGGCTGAAGTGTTCAGAGTTAACTTTGTGAAGAGGTGGATTCCCAGTTAGTAAAATCGCACTTGGATTGAGAAGACTGTGAGAACACTTGCAAAGGGAGGTTGTGTCTTCATCTTCTGCTTCCTTCCGGTGAGATAAGCGGCGAGGAAAGGACCCTCCGACCTGAGTCGGGGGCTGAACCTGGCGTGTAAAAGACTGTTTTGTCAACAGACCGGTGGATAAAGTCGAGAAAGGTACAAAAATTTGAAAAAAAGCCTGAAAGGAGTTTGACTTTTGCCTAAAACAGGGGAATGTCTTCGAAAAAACAAGAGGTTAACGACCTTTCTCGTACTTCGTGCCTGGGAGAGTTTAATCTATATATAGTTATTATCTTAAATTCTTGATACAAAAAATGTTTTTATTGCGTCCCTTGTCTTCTTTGTATTTATCCTTGCTGCCTATTCTCACAAGATGTATCCATTTTGTATATGAGAAAAAATCCTAAAGCATATCTTTAAACAATAAACTATTATGATGTGCCAATATAAACTCTTAATTTCTTAACAAAGCACTATAAAATCACTAATCAAATTTGATCACAATAAATCACTATTAAGTCCCTAGTAAAGTTAGTTTATAAGTGTTTTGTCGATTTCGAAAAATAGGTATTTGACATTATTGTTAAACTACTTACTTTCTTTTTATTAGGTAATTATTAACTAAATATTTCTCAACATTTGTATCTATTAAATTCAAATCTTGTGAAGATTGATATATTATCTTAAGTCCCAATGAAAGTGCGCGTAAACTCACGCGCTCACACATACTTCTTTTGATAATAAACACCTAATGATTTTCATTTGGCATTACATTCTCAATGTCCCTAGATTTTGTTTATGATTACCACTTAACTCATTCAATAATATAACTTATTGCTTCTCAAATTTTTATATACATCCAAGAGTTAAAGAGTAAGAGAGCATTGGTTTTTTACTAAGCTTAGGCTAAGGTTTATTGTGTGTGTAAATAGGTCTCTAGAATTCATATCTATGACACCTTTTGGTCACAATCTCAGTTATTTAAAGACAAGTGTATCTCTTCTTCAATTTCCACGCCCCAGGAACCTATATAAGAACACCCCCTCCCCAACACTAAAATCATCATAACAAAACTACCAACAACAAAACTAAGTAAACTCTTGAGAGAAATGGATAACATGCATCTTTTCGAGTGGGAAAACCATCTAGTGAATGGAGAGAGGCCTCCACCACGAACATGTCCAAGGTGTCTCTCAGACAACACCAGGTTCTGTTACTACAACAACTATAGCTTCGCTCAACCTCGTTACACCTGCAAGAATTGTCGTCGACCCTGGACACATGGTGGGACTTTAAGGAACATACCGGTTGGTGGCAGTGGCCGTAAAACCAAGCGTCCAAGGAGAGATCAACCATCTGTTGCTCAGGTGGTTCCTGTTGAGACTCAACAGGTTAATCATCAGCAGCCTATCTTACATGATCAAGAAACCAACGATTTTCTTGGATCTATTTGATTTAAGCTCTAAACATTTGCATCTTTGTTTCCCTAAAGTTCAGACATAAGTTGGCTGTCTTGTCTTTAATAAATATAAATAAATAATTGTCACCAGTTAGTTGTGTCTTTTATAACTGATGAGTAAAATATGTATTTTCAAATGTTCATGTCTTGTTCTGTTTTAATCTATTCTCTGTTTTCAAATTACGCTTAATCACATTATAGTGTACAAATATGGTAAATCTATGGTTGTCTAAAATATTAAACTTGTATATATACTATCAATCTGGATTTCTCTAGACGAATGTTGAGTATTTGTTGTTCCAGTGCCATGAAACTAAAATTAAGTTGTGTCACTGTGTGTGGTTCTGCTAGAGTTTCTCTTTTACCATGAAAATGAATATAAAAAATAAGGTTTGAGCTGACATCCGAACAGGGGACCTCATGTGTGAGACTAGCATGATAACCGACTACACCACCCACACTTTGATGCACGTAGAAGTGCCACTGTTAAAGTCTTAATTTGTGAACCATTTTCTTTAATATGATAACAGAATAACCGTTATTTGTGGGGCCAACCCTTTCAAATTCGTATGGGTACTCTGTTTTCTCTTGTTCGTGAATTTGTGACGGTGACGAGGAAACATAGAGCGCGAAGCAGAAGCTAGACACAATCAAAGAAAAAGAGTATGGAGAATGTTGTTTCAGTAAAGGGAACTTGTGACCATGAAAACACTGTTTTTAGCTTTTAGTTGACTGTTTCATATTTAATGATACTGAAGAGTGTTTTCTAGTCCATGAGCAAGATTAAGCTTCAATTTGCAGCGAGGAATGTTTGTTAGGCTTTATTGGTATTTTGTGCTCATTAGGCTTTTTTTGGTATGTCAAACATTTCTATAGCTTTGCTTGATTTTAAAGCTCTTCTTGGACTTTAAGAAAGAAGAGCTTATCATAACAGGAACAGAGATTTGAGAGGCTCAGAGTATTACTGGAGCGTATGCGTTAGGGTGCTTACGAAGTTACGAGTGAATGATGATGACAAAAAGAAGTTTGGTGAAGTCACGGATTCATTGACAAGAGAACATATAATAAATTCTCAAGTAGTATCATATATACGTCTCTAGTATTTTTTTTTTTCTGGTAAACATATACCTCTCTAGTTTCTAGTAGCAGAAGAAATACAAAATAAACGATATACAATATTTGAATTTTAGTTTTCGTGACAAAAGATACGAAGCCAAAGAGAACAAGAAAGTTCCTCACTTCCTGACTTTAGCTGATTTCAGGTCTTTAGTAAGCATCCGTGGCGCAATAGCCATTGACATAAGCTCTTGCAAGAGTAATTTGCAAGCATATGGTATGTGAACCTGTCAAAGAGATTTTAAGTAGATAACATGCCATCACACCAATGAGTATTAACGAGATAAAAAAGACCAAAAACATTTTAAAAACGATTAAGAAACTTACTTGAACAATATCTGTTGTGTTCTTGCAACCTCTGCATTCGAAAGTATTATTCTTAAGGTTTGCAATGGCGATGAGCCCACAGGCTTCACACACATGTACCCTATACGCATCGCTCTGATCAAACAGCCTCTCTTTCAGAAAGTTAGCAGCCCCATGAGCAATCATGCAATCTCGTTCCATCTCTCCAAAACGCAGACCACCATCACGTGATCGTCCTTCAGCTGGTTGTCTTGTTAAGATTTGCACAGGACCTCTTCCACGAGAGTGGATCTTGTCATCAACCATATGCTTCAACCTTTGATAATACGTTGGTCCAATGAATATCATCGCTGGGAGTGGTCTGCCTGTGTGACCATTGTACATTCTCTCAAAACCACGCATTTGGTACCCACATTTATGGAGAGCTTTGCTTATATTGTCCACCTAGAGACACCGCAATGTGTCAGAGTTACACCAAGTCACAACTAAACAACGAGCTAAGGAAAAAAGTAACTTTACCGTGACATCTGTAAAAGGAGTGGCATCTCCTTCTTTACCCATGTGAGCTGCTACTTTTCCCATGATGCACTCAATTAGCTGCCCAATCGTCATCCGAGACGGGATAGCATGTGGATTCACAATGATATCAGGAGTAACGCCTTCTATCGTCCAAGGCATGTCCTCCTGTGTATATGTCATGCCAACAGTTCCCTTCTGACCATGTCTACTACTGAATTTGTCTCCAATTTGAGGAATACGAACAGATCTAACCCTCACTTTCACAAACTTCAAACCATCTGCATTTGTGGTCAATAATACCTACATACAAGAAGTTTACAAGAAAGAAAATTAGAGAACTTCCAGAACAACCAGCCCTATGATTATACAAAAATATGATCAGATTCATAGCTGAGTCCGTAAACTTTCTAGACTCTTAACTGCAAGGAGATACCAACGTTACCTGATCCACCATTCCAGTTTCACTATGACGCAAGCTTATACTATGATCACGTTTAGTGTATCGTGTTGATTGACCTTGAGCTTCATCTTGAGATATTGGAGTGGTTTTCCCAATGATTACGTCTTCACCTGAAACTCTAGTACCCTTTACCACAAAAAATATAAAAAAAAATTACATGAGATGCTTTCTAGCACTACTCGCCTAATCATATCAGAGTTAACCATTAATGGAACAATAAATCATTGACTTACAGGAGGTGCTAGACCATCATCATCCAGTTTCTCATAAGAACCATGTCGCATACCCTGCGGCAGAATTTCTAAGTGTCAATACTCCACTAACAGAAAATATGAACCGAAAGTGTCTAAATTGTCTCTTACCAGTGTATTTCCTCTGTCTGGGGGCCCAAAGTCTTCTTTGATAAGTGTCCCCATTCTTTTCTCCTCGTCTCTGCCAGCAGAAAGATTGCAGTATAAATAAAATGGAAAGACCAGACCGAAAGCAAATGTCCAGAAGTATATATGGTATACTCACCTGTAAGACCGAAAGAACAAGGATCGAAAGAAACCACGATCTATTGAAGACTGATTCATGATGACAGAATCTTCTTGATTATATCCAGAATAGCAAGAAATGGCAACAATAGCATTCTACACAAGGAGAAAGAAAAAACACTTGAGAGAATTGATAAAATCTGGATTTCTGAAAGACTTCAAGCAAAATAACTCACAATTCCTGCTGGAAGTTGCCGAAAGTGAAGATGCTCCATAGCTCTTGTGGTGACTAGAGGCTTTTGAGGGTAGTAGAGAACATAGGCTAAAGTATCCTGGTTGACAGAACAATGATATTAGTATCATTACAGCATGCAGTGTTATTACAAGAGATAGCAGAAAGAGAACACAGATTAAAGAGCCTAGAACATACCATGCGGACTTGGTAGTTGGTGACATATATTCCCATGGCTTGCTTTCCCATAGCTGATTGGTATGTATTACGGGGTGACTAATTCATCAAAACGCACAAGTGGCAGGAAAGGTATCATTTAGCATAAATTTGATTTGTACATAACTAAATCCCTTCTCATAGATAAGTCAACTAAAGAGAGTGAAACCTGATTATGGTCGGGAAATGGTATGATTGAAGCACACACGCCCAATATCAAAGAAGGGTGAATCTCACAATGTGTGTAAGTGTCAGAATATGCCTCGTCGGGACGAAGCCTAGCTTGAACCAGATCCTGTAACGAAATTAAGTGGTGAGTTTTCTGTGCCAATGAGTGCATTTATCCACCATCTTCAATTTTCAGACATTTTATCACTCACATTGATAGTCATTGATATCATAGTCGTTTCCTCTTCTTCTGTGTCTATGTATTCTATAAACTCCTTTTTAAGTAGTTGATTCCAACCAGCTTCTTCTGCATTTTCCTGGGTTGTGAAAAGATGTATTGGTACACTGAAATTATAACAAAGCGTACTTTGAGAACAAGAAACTATAAACTTTACACTTTGTTGCAGAGCATATATATCTTTCTTCTTTATTAAGAGCCTCTGATTATCCACAATAAACAAGGGGCGACTACAGCGACCATAATCAGTGTATATCCGGAGCTCTTTCCAGCGAATGTCTCTAACAATGCCAACTTCAGAGTTAATAATATCATTCTGCAAGAGGAAACGTAATACATTATTTCTACAAAAGGTGGCAATTTATTGACTAAACTATTTGAAAATGTGAACGAAACAACACCCTTACCCTTCTCCTCAAACGTCTCAACGTTTTTACCAACATGTCAGGATTTCGATGAATTCCAATCCACTTTCCATTGACAATGATTTTTGTGGCTTGGGGGATAACTGATGGAGAGATTTCCTACAATCAAGTTAAGACCTTGAGTAAACACATGAAACCAAGTGGCAGAGATTGAGTAAGAAACTGACTGGTTAGTGCTACAGACCTTAAAACTCTCAGTTCCCCATGCTTCCAAGACAGCCAAAATGGAAGAAGCAGCTGACCCAACAGTAATGTAGACCATGAGCGCCAAGTTTTTCACTAGACCACAAGCCTGTCAAAGCAAAGCCACAGTAAGCAATTGAACTAAATAAAACCCAAAACATATATATTTCTATAAATGCAACAACTATACCTGTCCTTCGGGTGTTTCAGCAGGGCACATCATACCCCACTGTGAGTTGTGCAGTTGTCTTGGTTTTGCCAATTTTCCTGGCATATAAGACTCGGTTAACATTCAAGCGAATATAACAAGGATGCGGATATAATAAAATGAACCCTGACTAAAATCCACCAACTGCACCAGCAGATAAACTGAGACAAAACAGAAATGAAGGAAAAGAACAAGGTTTTACCTTCACGCCCAATAGGAGAATTGAGACGCCTCAGATGTGACAAAGTGGAAGCATATGTTAACCGATTTAGTACCTGGTGGAAGTAAAAACTTGAGAACCATGTAGATCATGCAATAAACCATAATGGACCAAAACTGTAATGAACATATCTCAAATTTTATGTGAGCTGAAAAAGAGAAGAAATAAAGAAATGGCCTAACCTGAGAGACTCCAGCTCTTGTGCCAGCAGCGTTTGCCTGGCCCCAGTTCCCAGTAGCAAGAGCATACTTCAGGCCAGAGGTAATTGTTTTAGCCTTAATGGCAAACTGAAGATTGACTTCTTTGCCATTGTCAACGCACTATTATAGCGACATGAATCAGACTTCCAAACACAGAATAACAAACTAGAATTAAAGTCCTCTGGTTAAAAAAGAGCAACTATTAAGAAACCTTTTGAACATAAGATCGCACATCCCTCGTTAGCTTTCTGAAAAGCTGCATTAAAGAATATTTTAAGTCAGTAAGATATCAACTAAAATAATACTTAAATCTTTAATTTTTTTTTCAAAAATGCATGATTGTGGGGGGCGGTAATAAACCATTCTAAACAGCCCTCCAAGTAAAGGACCAGCAAGATCCAGCCTTTTGTTACCATAATGATCCCTATCATCTTCTGGCTTTTGGCCAAGTGCACAACGCAACAGACGATTTATGATATCCCTGAGGGTTATTGCAAAATATGAGCAACGGAAAAACCTATGAAATTTCAAAGAACACGTGTGAGCTGAATACGTACCCGAAATGGTAAGCTTTGTCCGTTTCACAAGACTCCCCAACATTTACATGAGGAAGCATTTCTTTTTGAAGGATATCTCTTGCATACCTGCAATAATGATGATATTGCAATTGCAAATCTCAAGTTCCAACATCTCAATAGTTGACATGTTAGATCATAACAGCCAAGTCAATTGGTTTAAATGATCACATACTTTATCCTCATTTCCTTGTTTGCACCAGCGGGTGCACCACGTGTCCCAATATAGTCAAGTGCAACCTGAAGAAATATGAAGGTTATCAACTAATTTCAGGGTCAAAATAGAAAAGTGCATTAACAAATGAAGGATCATCAGTGGATACCAGCTGACTTTGAATGACAAAAGCTTCTTCCAAGGAAGGTCTGAGCAACTCCATCATCTGAGTATCGGCAAAATCATAGCAAATATGTTCCAATATGTCCTTATCGGCAACAAATCCCAATGCACGAAATACGATGATAATAGGAATTTCTTTCTTGACATATGGAAGAGTACATCGAATAAACTGTCCAGATGAACCCTGCATCCATTTACCATTATCTTAGAATTTAAAGAAACTAATAGAGTTTAGAGTATTTAGCTTTCTCTTACCCCTTTCGAGCCAGAGAGCATACCCACAAACATTGTGCTTGGAGGTCTATTTTGGTTTTCAGCCATGGAACGGACTTCAGCAACATAGGAATACTTATTTGGCTGTCTCTTCTTGAACACATAAACATGGTTTGTACTCATCTTCTCTTGAGCAATCAGAACCTTTTCACTTCCATCAATAATAAAGTATCCGCCCTGATCATAAGGACATTCTCCAAGCTCTGTCAAATCTTTCTCCGAATTCCTATTTAAGGTACAGTAAGTAGACCGGAGCATGATGGGAACCTAGTAAAAAACAAAACGAATAGAAAACATATCTACTCTCAGAACTGTATAGCAGAAGCCGCTTATATAATCTTGCAAAAAAGAACTACGTTCACGGACCTTTCCAATGAAAACTTGGGAAAAATCCTGAGTCTCCGTAACTTCCTCACCATCATGCCCTTTCTTAGTAACACTCTTGCTAACATCGACAAACAAAGGAGCCGAGTAGGTGAGGTTTCTCAACCTTGCAGCCTTAGGGAACAAGGTGGCCATCTCTCCATCTGACTCCGTTATCATGGGTTTACTCAGATGAAGCTGTCCAAAACTAATCTTGTAAATTGTCTGCAATAAAATTTCATCAGAGGTATAACAAAAACAGAACTAAACACATTCTCCTAGTGCAAAAACTGATCTGAGCTTCACACCCCAACATCCAAACCCACTGAAAAATACACCTTGAGAACACGAAGAGCTCATAGAACACAAAAGTGACCAGCTACTTGAGAATGTCAAAAGACTTATTGCAACAAACCTATACAATAATCTAACATACATAGCCTTTAGGAAAAATAGTCATAATCAGTGGTACAGCAAATAAGATACCAAACACAATTACTTAGTGCAAAAACTGATTTGAGCTTCAAGCAATACTCAAACCCACTGAAAACACACACCTTGAGAAAAAGAAAAAGCTCAAGCATAGAATACAAAAAAAAAAAAAAAGAGTGATCTCAGGACACTAATGAGATCAGCTACTCCAGAATGGCAAACACAAATTGCAAACAGAGGTGCAGCAAATGAAACACCAAACACATTTACTTAGTGTGCTCAAGTAACTTGACATCAATGATGTAAGGCAAACCCTAGTTGCAACAAAACTTCACAAACACGATAACCCAAAGCACACAATTTCATTTCACCATAGGAACCCTAGAAAAAGAACCACCCTAATTGCAAAAAAGAAAAACAGTTACAAGCTAACTTAAAACCTACGAAACCCTAGAAATTCAAAACTCTAGAAAATCTAAAGAACCTCTGCGAAATCAGAGTGGTGGCCAGGAATGTGCTGGGACTCAGGTCGGATCTCGATATCAGCTGACTCATTGACGATCTCTTGCATGGTGTTCTGAATAAACTGATCGAACGAATCGATCTGCTGACGAACGAGACCTTTCTCTTCGAAGTAGGCTGAGATGACGGCCCACGCGTCCTCCTGTGTAATCTCATCCTCGTCGTGATCAATGTAAGGCTGGTCCTGTTCGAGCTCCATCTTTGATCGCTTCTCTCACTGAAGAACAGAGCAGAGAGCGAGGAATGGATGAGACACGGAGAATGAGAGGGACTTGTGAGTTTAAGTAGTTTATAAAGGACCTCGGAGATGGAGTCGGTTTGAAGTATTCATTGCTTTTCTTTAACAAATTTCAAAAAATTTAGTATCCATTTATTATTGTTTAATGGAAATCTCTAAACAAAATCAATTAATTTTTAGTTATGGTGTTCAATTGGTTGAATTGTTTAATTTTGCCATGATTTAAAATATTGTAATACTATAATTCAACATGTGGAAACCTTTATTCAGAAAAAAAAAACATGTGGTAAACTACAACGTTAACACATCACAAAATTATTTTGAATAATTAATAATGTTATTGTTCTTACCATTGTTCTGAAAACTACATGCAGCTTTTGTTTAGACCTTTTTCATAGTTTTGGAATGAGCACATAGTTTGCAAACTTAACTTGAGGAATAAAGAAAAGTAACCCACAAAAACAATGATAGTAGCGCTGAGACTTATTAGTTAGTAAAAAAATGTTCAAGGTTAATTTGTGTATTAGCTTAATAATTTTACTGCAAAATTAGCAAACCAAAATTTTAGAAAATGGAGCCAAACCAAAATTACTTATAAGTCAAGTTACAATTATAAAGAAGTCTGTCAAAAGTGTATGGAGATGTTAGAAGTAGATCAAATAACGAAGATAAAGGAAACTTGGATTGATTCGCGGAGCTCGAGTCAAAATAACTGAGGGTTACATTGGATTGCTTGGAATAAAATTTGTGTTCCCTATGACTAGGGTGGATTCGGCTTCTTAAACATACACGATTTTAATCTCGTTTTATTAGCAAAACAACGTTGGAGGTTAATACAGTTTTCAAACTCTCTTCTTACCCGAGTTTTGAGAGGAAGATACTATAATCGATCAAGCTCATTGGAAGATCGGAAGGTTTACTCACCATCTTATAGCTGTCGTAGTATCATGGCAGCAAAACCGCTTCTGAAATCATGCTTACAGAAGACTATTAGAGCAGGACTAAACACATGCGTTTGAAGTGAGCCATCGATCCCTGATATTGACGCTAGTCCTCCTAGACCATCTGATCGCATTACTTATAGACACCCAAAACTCCTTGTTCGTTCTTTTATTAGGCGTGATACAAAGGATTGGGATAGTAACCTCCTACCCGAGTACTTCAACCCCAAGGACATCTCGCTTATTCTAAAACTACGACCGAGCAACACGTGGTCCATGGACGGATATGCATGTAACTATACAAAATCGGGCGTTTATTCTGTAAAATCAGGATATTCTCATTTACAAAAGATTAAAGTGAGCGAAACTGAAACTCGAGTTGTACAACCAAGTATCAGTGGTTTACAGAACCATGTGTGGAGTGTCCCTGCTCCTGGAAAAATAAAACATTTTATGTGACAAGCTTTGACAGGACATTGCGACGACGAAAATACTTTCCTATAGACACTTGGGTACCGACAAGAGCTGTCCTATATGCAGTAATCCTGAGAAAACCATTAATCATCATCTTTTTGAATGTCCCCCTGCCCTGCAGGTGTGGGCTTTATCCGATTATCCGTTCCTTCCAGGTTACTTTAGGTGCACCTCTGTTTTTCAAAACATGGACTTCCTCTTTTGGAAAGATAAAGACGCGGCCTATATAAAACCACTTATGAAAACCTTCCCATGGATCTTATGGTACATATGAAAGGCACACAATGACTAGGTTTTTAATGGAAAAGACGTAGCACCAATGCACACTCTTCAGCTAGCTTCCATTGAAGCCGCAACTTACATGAACGCAGAGGATGATGATCCCCATCGACTAGTTTGACTCCCCCTATGGACTCCCAATGCGCAATCTGCCAAATCGACGCCTCATGGGTCGAGAATGGCACAATCAGTGGTCTAGGGTGGTTTTACAAGGACCAAATGGGAGTCGAAAGATTTGGATTTCAAGAATGCCGGAAAAGCCTATCACCCCTTCGTGCTAAGATGGAAGGTCTTATATGGGCAATGTCATGTTTACTAGACCTCCATTGCACTGTTATCCATATGGAGACGGATTATTCTGATCTAGTAGACATGATTACAAACTCCCCTCTCCCGACTGGCCGGGTTTTTGCTTCAGAGTTAATTACCTTTCACCGTCTAAAAGCTGGATTCTCGGCTTTTAGCATCGCCCGCGTACCAAGGACCATGGTTGATAAACAAATTTCAAGAAAATATTTGAAAGACAACAATATGGTTTAAAGAAGTTAAGTACACAAATTTATTGAAATGATTGAAAATATATTGAGTTTAGTCAAGTATAAATTAGTATTTTTAGAACCGATAACCCGATTAGTATCCGAAACCGAAACTACTTCAGGTTCAACCGGATCTTGGACATGTTATTAAACTTGAACCGAACCCAATTAAATCTGAACCGAATCCAATCTGAATTTTTATAATATCCGAATGGGACTAAAATTTATGAATGCGATAACCCAAAATTTGAATGAACCGAACCAAAATCCGATTGGGACTCTGTTTGTCCACCCTAATTAATACTCATTTCATTTAACTAATACTTTATGGTCTTACTTAATGGCGCCTCTCAATATGTTACCATAAATTTTGATAACAATAATTTTAGTGTCTTTTGCTAAAACAGCCCTGACTCTGTTTTCGCTCAGGTCTCGTCCTCTCTCGTCTTCATCACTACTGATGGAGGATCCCATGGAATCTTCTGGTGAAGAGGTAATGGGGTTCATCTCTTTCACTATAATGACGATTTACTCTCAGTTTGTTATATATTCAGTGGATGATGATTTATAGGGGATTCTGATATAAGAGACTAGCTTACTTCAGAAACAAAGACTGAAATGAAGTTTTGTTGTTTGTTGTTTTTCTTGCAAAGAACTTTGTGGAAGAGAGTCACAAGCTGGTCGACTCATTGGACAAGCTTCGTGTCAGTGCTGAGAGCTCTTCCTCCCATTTCAAGAAGAAGCCTGTCATTATCATTGTTGTTGGAATGGCTGGTACACATTGTTTTAGCTATAACAATGTTCTTGAGAAAAAACTCCCTATGTTATTGGTTTAGTGCTGCATTGTCTGATGTGAAGAGACACCGTCAAGTACAAGGAAGTTATAAAGCAGTATATCTTGGGACCTAATGGTGGCATCATGACGTCACTCAACTTGTTTGCTACTAAATTCGATAAGGTAAAAAAATGACTTTGATCACTCTTGTTGTGGTTCTGCTTTTTTATTTTATTGAAATCTTTACATGGTCTGCTTCTGGTGCTTTAATCACTGAAGCGTTTGCTTCAACCTTCCCAACTGTTGTCACTTATGTGGTTGATACTCCACGTTCCACAAGCCCTATCACTTTTATGAGTAACATGCTCTACACTTGTAGTATTCTCTACAAGACCCGGCTGCCTCTTGTCTTGGCTTTCAACAAAACCGATGTTGTAGATCACAAGTTTGCCTTAGAGGTTCAACTGTTTATCAATATTGAATCTGTTGATGGTACTGATATGGGTTTCTTTGCAGTGGATGGAAGAATTTGAGGTGTTTCAAGCGGCTATACAGTCTCTCTCTCTTTCACTGTATGAGTTCTACGGTAGAACTTGTACCGGAATATAAGATATGTTGGTGTTTCTGCAATCACTGGTGCTGGGATGGATGATTTCTCTAAAGCCATTGAAGCAAGTGCTGAGGAATACATGGGAACTTCATCTGTCAGCAAGTTCCATGCTTATGATTTGTGTTTTTGTTCTCCAGAGCTTATCTTGACTAGAGAAAGGCGGAGAAGGAGCAGTTGCAAGAAGAGTGAAGGGAAAAGGAAATGAAGAAACTAAGAAAGGATATGGATAGTTCTCAGGAAGGGACTGTGGTATTATTGAACACTAGCTTTAAAGATAGAGATGCAACAGAGAAGATGATGCTAGAGGAGAATGATGAGGACTTTCAGATTGAAGAAGACAGTGATGATGTCATAGATGAGGATGATGAAGAGATGAATCGTTTCTACGTGTAAATTAGAAACTCAAAAACCAGAATCTTATTGTCCAAAAAAAAAAAAAACCAGAATCTTTCAGACTTTATCAGTTTGCTTTAACTGGTTTTGTTTGTCTCACTGTAAGACATTGTCTAATGATCTAATGAAATGACTATTATAAACTAGCATTTTAGGAATTTTTTTGTACACAGGTTTTGTTCATTTATGCACAAAGAGATAAACACATAACTCAGACAAGGGAAAAAAACTAACAAAACCGTCCACATTATCCACAACCATAAAGCAATGAATGTGTACACAATGTGCCCTTGGGAAGATGAAGATTTCAGTCTTGGTGGATTTCATCAAAAGGGGCAGGAGCAAACCTCACATCTTCTGGCCGTGCAATCACTACAGGCTCATCAGCGAAAAGGGCTTTGAGGAAAGATGGAGTCTTCAAGGGGCGTCGATCAGTCATTCGTGGATACACAAATGCCAAGAAGTAATACGCGTGACCTGCTATCATTCCCTGCACATAGGACAAAGCTCAAGGGTAAGGATAAAGGTAAAGAGGGAAGAAGATATGGGATGAAATCGAATTAAGAAAGTGGGTACCAGTAAATCCCCCCATGGACTTGCACCAACAAGAACAGAGAATCCAAGAAGCACCTGCAGTTTCAGAACATGGCGTAAGGGATGATTCTAGCGAGAGCATACCAAGAAGAGAATTGAGAAAGTCGAACTCACTCACCCATGGTAAATAGGCTGCTGTAAAAGTGAAAAGGCCAAGGAAACTCATGTGGACGTAAGGATTCTGTTTGCTCCATACATACACCTGCAGAGAGGTGAAATACATTAAAGGAAATGGTTTTGAGATGGATCTTTCAAACTATTAGAGAATAGGTTTGGAGAAGTTACCATCATGAAAGTCAACGAGTTGCTGAGGAAAATGATCTTTGAGAGTGAGACAGACAAGTAAGGTATAGTTCCGCCAATGAGAACAATACCGGTTAGCACAGTTGCACCGAATAAGAGCATGTAAAGGAAATCAGCAGTCTTTCCCCTGAAGGAGTTTTCTTCCAGGAGTTTGCAGTATCTTGCTAGAAAAAACATATGGAACAAGAAGTCCAAATCTGCAAAAACCAAAAAAAAAAAAAGATTGATAATTCAGAAAGAAATCAAAAGTTTATATGATGTTTACAAAGGAAATGAATCCATACATGGAGAAGAACATAAGTCAAAGCATATAAACAAGCGGGAAAGGGCAATTTTGATCGTGCTTTTTAACACCTGAACACGTACTCAATGCCAATTACGACATTAACTTGGATCAAAATTCAAAACTTACTTTGATTAACAAATAATTATTCAACAGTTAAACCAGGCTGAACCAGCATCTATAGTGGCCAGAAAAATATGGATTTTCTAACCAAAACAACATCGTTTCCTCTGTAAATACAATTACAGTTCGAATCACATGCTTGATCGCATTCACATATAGATAATTAATACAAGTGTAATCATCTAGATTATTAAGATAAGATCACACTCGTAAAAGAGAAACTTTTAAAAAGTTGTAGACTTTGAGCTACCAATTTGCATATGAAAACCAAAGAAAGCTAATTTCACAATCTATGATCCAACACAACATAAGAGTAAATTACCCATATTCCGGAAATAAAGAAAATTAGTAACGAGGCGCCATAACTGGTACTGCTTCACCACAAGGGTTGGATTCAGGTACAGATTATACGGTGATATTATCTGCCATTCAAAACCAATTACATATTCAAATCGATTCCCTCTAGGGAATAACAAACCCTAATCAGATCAATTCGATACCTCTAGGGAACATCCTACGGTGGTGACTACAGCCGCCGTCAAATACGACCTTGTTATTATCGGCATCTGCTTATACCATTCTTCTACCGCTTGAGCCATTATTTAAATTTCAAACACAAATCGAGATGAGATTCAATTTCGAAATCAGCTTCTTCTTTTTTTTTCTTCTGGAACGAAAGCCAAGGTTGAAGTTTTTTTTTCTTTCTTTCCCGCACGTATGATTTAAAGGAGAAAAAAGTTTGGTATTTAATCCGTGTGAGGTGACAATAGTTCAACGAATAAGAAAGCGCGTGGTTTTCACGGACCAATCACGAAAAGGTTTCTGACGTTTGTGTTCTACGAGGAGAAGACAAAATTTTAAGACGTCTCGGCGTTTTGTTTTCTATCTTCTTTAAAACGGTGTGACGTTGGTATTGAGTAATGAAAAACAGCGCGATTGCCAACTTCTTGGAACAGTTGCAATAATTTCTTTGCCTATTTTACGATTTATTCCTTTTATCTTTCGATTTTGCGTTGCTGAACATAGAATTTGTGAATCAATTCCAATTTTTAAAATCTGGTAAATGAAACAACTTTTCATTTAGCTGTGATATTTTTTTAACACCAGAATAGCGAGAAGAGAACTGAATACTGATTGTTCCATTTATAAATGTTGCAACTCTTCCCACACGAATTTTCTCAAAAAAAAAAAAAAACTCTTCCCACACGAAATGATTTAATCAATTAGCGACAGACTTTTCTTTTGCCCTCCAGGGCGTCTCTCCACAAATTACAATACACTCATTTTAAGAACGCTAAGAGCAAGTTTAACCCAAAGACCCATTTAGGTCTCTTATTCCTTATTTTAATAATTAAAAGCAAATAAGAAACTCACTTAAGAGACACTATAATTTTATGTCTTTAATGGTGGTCTCTTATTTTGGAGTTTTTAAATTAAAAAATAATAAAAAAAATTCAAATTTTTTTTTAATTTAAATAAAACATTATAAAAGATAATATTTTAAACATAGATTGAAAAAAAAAGAAATGATGGTACAAACATTTTAGTACAATAAACGAGAATAATTTGAAAGAAACATTCGATCTTAGTTGTTGCCTCCATCTTGTCCAAATTTACGCCATATATGTTCAACCAGATCATCTTTCAGTTGTTGATGCATTTGTCTATCATGAATTCTAGTTCGAACATCCATCATATCGGCGATATTTGAAGGCATATCAGTAGAATATGTGAGATCGACATGTGAACTTCCGGTGTGTTCTCCTAGTTCGAACTCTGAAACATCAAATTGAGTATAGCCTTCTCGTTCGTCTTCTACTATCATATTATGGAGTATGATACATGCTCTCATAATGTTCCCAACTTTGGTTTTGTTCCAAAAAAGTGCCGGATTTTTAACAATGGCAAAACGAGCTTGCAAGACTCCAAAAGCGCGCTCGACATCTTTTCGGGCAGCTTCTTGACATTGAGCAAATAAAACCGCTTTCGGCACTTGTGGCATCGGAATAGATTGGATAAAAGTTGCCCATTTCGGATAAATACCATCGGTGAGATAGTAAGCCAAATTATACTCTCTTCCATTGATAGAATAAGTGACTTGCGGAGCTTGACCATGTATTATATCATCAAAAACAGGTGAGCGATCAAGAACATTGATATCATTGAAGGTACCTGGAGCTCCAAAAAACGCATGCCATATCCAGAGATCATATGAAGCAACGGCCTCTAAAACGATTGTTGGTTTTCCCGAACCCCGAGAATATTGCCCTTTCCAAGCGGTGGGACAATTCTTCCACTCCCAATGCATACAATCGATGCTTCCTATCATCCCGGGAAATCCACGACGCTCTCCAATATCAAGAAGACGTTGAAGATCAGCCGGTGTTGGTCTTCTGAGGTACTCATCGCCGAACAAATAAATTATACCTTCCACAAAATTTTCCAAACATAACCGAGTTGTACTTGCACTGAGTCTGAGGTATTCGTCAACCGAGTCAGCGGCAGTACCATATGCCAAGCAACGAATGGCTGCGGTACACTTTTGAAGAGGAGAGAGACTTCGCCTGCCGAGACAATCTGTTTTTTGTTGAAAGAATTGAATTTCATTGGAGAGGCGATCAACAATGCGTATGAACAATGTCTTGTTCATTCTAAATCTTCGTCGGAACAGATTATCAGGATATGTTGGAGCATCACAGAAATAATCATTCCATAACCGCAAATCGCCTTCTTCACGATTTCTTTCGATATAGATTCGTTTCTTCCTCTTTTTTCTTTTTTCTTCTTGATTACAATAATCAGTGGTAAGATCTTCTAAAGTTTGATCGAAAGCTTGTTCCAAATATTGATCGAAAATGTCTTCATCTGAATCCTCAAAAGGGTCATTAGAACCAGATGCCATTTACTCGATCAAAATGTAAAATTTTATTTAGAATTTGTGTTTAAAAAAAAAAGAGCAGAAAGAGAAGTAGAAATGATGGTACAAACGTGTTTAGATAGAAGAGAAGATGAGTTGTGAAGAATTATACAGAGTTGTGAACAAATATATAGAGAATTTTTCCTACATAAACATCCGTGACTACAACAACACTTGTGGTCATAAGTGGTACATAACATCCGTGACTACTAGAAAACAAACAGAGTCAATGTGACAACCAAAAAAACAAACCATTGTCACATGAAAACACTCCCGTGACTACTACACTCCTTCCTTTTTGACCTGAAAAACATACTCCACATCCGTGACTACCCTACACTCCTTCTTCCTTTTTGACCTGAAAAACAGACTCCACATCCGTGACTACCCTACACTCCTTGATTCTTTATGACCTGAAAAACCAAGACAAGAAAATTAATATTCACAAGTAACCAATGCAAGAACATAATAAGAAAAGTAATATTCACAAGTAACCAATGCAAGAACATAATAAGAATTAATATTCACCTTAAACTTAACTTATTAGACCAACTCAGATATGAGTTTCTTTTTCAACTCTTCTTCATATTCAGCTAACGGCTCAGCTTTTGCAAGTAGCTGTTCAAGGAGTTTCATCTTCGACAGCTCCTTCCTCATGCTCCACACACTCTCCAATTCAGATATCCTTTCATCTGCCTTTGTCTTCTTGCCATGAGCTTTAGCTGCTTTAACACCCGGGGGGCGATCTGTCTTCGGTTCAGAGGCGTGAGAGGTTGATGAATGTGCACTGTCGTCGACCTTCCTCCTTTTACAACCGTTATCTGTTTTTGAACTTGACAGGTTACACCATTTCTGATCGTTCCGCAGCTCCTTCCACGCATGCTCCATGGAGAAATCCTTTTGGTAGGTGTTCTTGAAGATCACATGCGCTCGGTCCAGAACATTAACATCGTTTTGCCCGCTTGTTCTTTCTCTGCTTGCAGCTTCAAACGCGCCACAGAACTTGCCAACAATATCATTGATCTTGTGCCATCTTTGCTTGCACTGTCCCCACTCCCTATGTTCACTGACTAGAATCTTTGGACTTGCTGCGAAGTACGCGGCAATTCTCTTCCAAAAAGCTCCGCGTCGTTGCTCATTCGACACAACGGGATCCTTACTAGTATTTAACCAAGCGGATATGAGCACTTCATCTTCTGTACGCGTCCATGCTCTCCGTGTACTTCGCTCTGCAGGGCTCTCACCAATGTTTGAATCTTCACTTAGTGGAGTTCCAAATAGAGGAACTTGTGAAGAAGAAACATGAACACTATCCTCCCCTGAACCAAACACAACGTCTTCTTGACTGTTGAGAAGGTCAACAAAGTTTGCTGCATGTGTATTAAACGGATAAGAATCCATACCGAGCTGAAAATAATAAGAAGATGGAAGAGATGAAAAAATAGAGAACAAGAGATGTGTTTAATAGATAAAGAGAAGAGGTGACAGATATCTAAAAAATTAATCACAACCGTAAAGAGTTGACATATATCTATAACATTCATCACAACCACAACATTGATTCCTATCTATTTATTACCTACATCCAACCGTAATATACCTCTAACCAAAACATTTATTACTCAAATTTAAATAATCTAACACTAACCAACATCATTTATTACTGAGGTTCAACAATAATCTGAATAGATATTTAAATAATCTAACACTAACCAGCAAAAAAACTTGTTCTTCTGACCTTGCTAGCGTCCGACCTTCCATCTACATTAACACCGAAATGTAGAAACATATCAAAAATAATGCACATGATGATCAACAAGGAAACATCTTGAGAGTATGCCATGAACAATAGACACTTTGATCAACATGGAAACATCTTTGGTTCGTTAAAAGCAACACAAATATTACAACAATCAGAACTTGTTATCAAAACAAGACTCTAGCTTGAAACAAAAACCAACCAAGCACAATCCTTTACTGACACTTTTTTACACAAGTGATAGTGTAACAGAGCAATAAGCATATTAGTAGAAAAGAAAACTCACCAAGAGGATTAAGCTCTTCTACATAACCATGAACCCGTACCACCTCCTCAAAGGCCAAACAAACCAACTAAACATCATCGCAAAATACACCATCTGAGACGTCACACCAAGGATCTCCTCTTTCATGAACTTAAGCAACGACCCTTCAGCTCTAGCCATCACTTCCTCTTGGCTCTGCTCTGAAACCGCCATATCTCTCTCAAAGTTGAAACCTTTCTCACGAATTCCCTAGTTTCAGCTTGTGGGTTCTGCTCAAATCGCCATTACAGAGCAGAAACAGAGCAAAAATTGTAGAAACAGATTAGAGAGATTCGACGAGTCACCACCACCAGCCAATAGGTTTGGGTTATGATTTGTGGTCCATGAAGAGAGCTTCCGATGATTTGGTTCCTCCGTAGAAGAGAGAGACACCGCTTAGATTTGTCATCCAAGGGGGAGAACAGCCTTTCGATTCGATTAATCGATGAAGAGGAGAATAGCCATCGATTCTATTCTTCGCTATTGTGAAGGTCTTCTTGTTTTCTCCTCCCAAAAGAAACACTTCTTATGACGCGTGGCAATAAAAAACGTTTCTTTCTGACTTCCAAAATAGATACGTCGCTTACATTAATTGGCCTTTTTGATTTAAATTAATTGCTCATTTATTTTAAAAACCCTTCTAAATACGCCGTTAATCATGGTCTAATGTTGCAAGATGTTTTAATAGAAATGGAAACATCCCCTTAACTCAAATAAATAAATATATATATATATATATATATATATCTCACTAAGTCATGTCTAGGCTCCTTCACTGATGTAGCGGAAGCTTCTAGGGATAGAATTAGATCCGTTGATTCTAAGAATACCCGGAAACTAGGGTTTGTGAATACTCTTCACAATGCTTAATTAAAAGCTCTTAGGGTTTGTGAATACTCTTCACAGTGCTTAATTAAAAGCTCTTAGGGTTTGAGAATACTCTTCTCAGTGGTTTATAGAAACCGCTTTAGGAAAACTCATTTTATTAATAATCAATCAACTGAATACAACTCTAAGCATAAAAAGTCTATATATACGAAAACCATAAAACCCTAATACAATAAAGATAGTTATCTAAAATAACTAATAAAATAAATAATAAATATTTGGAAATATCCCAAATATTTATCTACATCATTCTCTCCGGGTTGGAGAAAATTCGTCCTCGGATCTTGATCGTAGTCTTTGGATCTCAAACGTTTTCCAAGAAAAACTCTTCCTCGGATCTTCAATAGCGTTCTTAGCATAAAAATAACACAAATCTGCACAAATTTCGCACATCTCAGAATCTCCAGAAAATTTACAAAAACTTGATACTGCACGATTTTTGCACGGATCTGATTAAATCTTGAATCTTCAAAAATTTGTTTTTGCACAAAGTTTGCACGCATCAAATCTTCATCAATATGATTTCGCCCTAACTTTGCATGCGAATTTTAAAAGGAACCCTCTTTCAAAAGAAAGTCAATAGGATGGACATCGTCTTCATAAATATCATAGATTGGATCACCATAGATCTCTCGATAGATCTCATGGTTCTCTTCTCTCTCAATAAAAGGACTTTCGTCCAGGATAGAATAGATGCTAATACTCACCATGACATCCAGAATCGTCCTCGATTAAGAAACCAAAGGAACGCAGCTCTGATACCAACTGATGTAGCGGAAGCTTCTAGGGATAGAACTAGATCCGTTGATTCTAAGAATACCCGGAAACTAGGGTTTGTGAATACTCTTCACAATGCTTAATTAAAAGCTCTTAGGGTTTGTGAATACTCTTCACAGTGCTTAATTAAAAGCTCTTAGGGTTTGAGAATACTCTTCTCAGTGGTTTATAGAAACCGCTTTAGGAAAACTCCTTTTATTAATAATCAATCAACTGAATACAACTCTAGGCATAAAAAGCCTATATATATGAAAACCATAAAACCCTAATACAATAAAGATAGTTATCTAAAATAACTAATAAAATAAATAATAAATATTTGGAAATATCCCAAATATTTATCTACATCATTCTCTCCGGGTTGGAGAAGATTCGTCCTCGAATCTTGATCGTAGTCTTTGGATCTCAAACGTTTTCCAAGAAAAACTTTTCCTCGGATCTTCAATAGCGTTCTTAGCATAAAAATAACACAAATCTGCACGAATTTCGCACATCTCAGAATCTCCAGAAAATTTACAAAAACTTGATACTCACGATTTTTGCACGGATCTGATTAAATCTTGAATCTTAAAAAATTTATTTTTGCACAAAGTTTGCACGCATCAAATCTTCATCAATATGATTTCGCCCTAACTTTGCACGTGAATTTTAAAAGGAACCCTCTTTCAAAAGAAAGTCAATAGGATGGACATCGTCTTCATAAATATCATAGATTGGATCACCATAGATCTTTCGATAGATCTCATGGTTCTCTTCTCTCTCAATAAAAGGACTTTCGTCCAGGATAGAATAGATGCTAATACTCACCATGACATCCAGAATCGTCCTCGATTAAGAAACCAAAGGAACGCAGCTCTAATACCAACTGATGTAGCGGAAGCTTCTAAGGATAGAACTAGATCCGTTGATTCTAAGAATACCCGGAAACTAGGGTTTGTGAATACTCTTCACAGTGCTTAATTAAAAGCTCTTAGGGTTTGTGAATACTCTTCACAGTGCTTAATTAAAAGCTCTTAGCGTTTGAGAATACTCTTCTTCTCAGTGGTTTATATAAACCTCTTTAGGAAAACTCCTTTTATTAATAATCAATCAACTGAATACAACTCTAGACATAAAAAACCTATATATATGAAAACCATAAAACCCTAATACAATAAAGATAGTTATCTAAAATAACTAATAAAATAAATAATAAATATTTGGAAATATCCCAAATATTTATCTACATCATTCACCGAGGAGAGAGCTGGAAAACTTGAAGGGGGTATTGAAAGATAACGCACTCTCTTGCAATCAGTATCCTTGCTTGATGTATTGTCGATACTAGAAGCTACCAGTTTCAGTTCCACTCTGGGGTTACGTCACTCGCATGCCTTCGATAGTCTCACTAGGAATCAATTTTAAGAGGACCTACTATTCTGCACTTCTAGCTTAGTATACATACTCGTATTATATATCATCAATAACAGAATAATCTTTTCTCACAACTATTACTAATTAGGTGGCTTCGAGTTCGAGAAGATTGAACCGAAAGAGGAAATGGTGAAAAGAACATTATTTATAGTACCTAAAGTTTATTTTAGTTATTATAAGACGCACATTAATAATGAAGAGAGAGTACTTGGAAACTGAAGAAACACACACACACACACACATGCACAAGGAATCATAATATCATAGGACTCATCATGTGGCATGAGTAACCTATCAGCAAGCTCATACGGATAAAAGAGGTTCTTGGTTTCTTCAAGTACTAGAAGAAAATTTGAGAGAGATACTATTGACGCAGTGACGTTGATCGGTAGGAGTAGAGTAACCTTCTCCTTTGAAAACATGGCCAAGATGTCCATCACATACTCCACATGTGATCTCCATTCTTCTTCCATCTGCTTCTGGCTACATAGATGAACAAAACATAAGAAGTTATTTAAAATAGCAAACTTTAATGCCTTCAAATGGGTTTGACCGATTAGCAAAAAATGTCAAGAAAATGTTATTTAAAGCTACTTTTCAATTGTCTTAAAAGATTTCTATTTGAATGTTTCTGCCTTTCTAGCGTACGTACTTCTCTAGGTAGTTCCACCACACAAAAATTGAACTCTGTTTTGCAGTTAGAGTTTCAAGTATTAGTGACGTTTTTGTTAATAGCTTGAGATCCAAAATAAAAAAATAAAAGATCCAAAAGAGAGTGGATTGGTAATTACTGTCTGATTGATAGCACCGGGGATGGCGTCGAAGAAGGCCGGCCAGCCGCAACCGGAGTCGAACTTAGTGGTGGATTTGTAAAGAGCATTTCCACAGCCAGCACAACTATAAGTCCCTTCCTCGAAATGTTTTGTATACTCTCCTTTGCCTCGTTTCCTAAATTACAAACCATAACAACATGTTAATGTACGTATAACTTACTACGCTAGAAAACGAACAAAACGAAAAAAACAAACATAAAGGACTTACTCTAAGCCTTTTTGTCTGAGAACCCTAAACTGCTCAGCAGACAGAACCGCACGCCACTCCTCGTCCTGTTTCTTGACAAATTCAGTTGCTCGAGCTGCAGTCCCGGTCGTTGCCATAACAAGAATATATAGAATGTTTGCGTAATGATGATGAAGAGGTGGAATAGGAAGTGTATTAACTTGTGTTACAAGTATTTTACAAAAGACTTAATTAGTTTGAATTGATATTCGACATTGAAATGGATGGGGGTATAAATACACATAGACAAGACTAGTTTAAAAAGAAACTGGAGAATAGTCCAAAGAAAATACGAAAAATATATTTGCCAGAGGATTTTCTATAGATCATAATGTTAGGGTCACAGTTGGCTCTGCTGATTGTGGACTTTTGGATGGGTTTAATGGGCAATATATATATTTTTTCCATTTTGATCACGATGTGAATACATTTTCTATAGTTGTTGGTCACGTTTTTTCCCTCTTTAAATCCTGCCTCGCTGATATTTAAAAGCCTTTCGTCGAATATATATTATATTAGTATATAATAAGTTAAAGAGTTATTGCATGAAAAATATATACTAAAATAAATGCTGGAAAGACTAGGGTTCTCAAATACCTGGACACATCTGATCATGCAGTGTATATCCACGGTATCCTATTCTTTTCTCATTAATAATGAAGTTGCTGGTAGTGTGATTCCGGAACGCGGGATACGTCAGGGTGACCCCCTCTCTCCCTATATATTCATCCTCTGTGGAGAGATACTCTCAGGCCTCTGCAAAAAGGCACAAGTCAATGGTACAATGGCGGGTCTCAGAGTGTCTCTAAATAGCCCGCGGTTAAATCACCTGTTGTTTGCTGACGATACAATGTTCTTCACAAAGACTGACCCCCAAAGTTGTGCTACGCTTATGGGTATCCTCAATGGGTATGAAAGGGCTTCCGGCTAGATGATCAACACTGCAAAATCCTCCATCTCTTTCTCTGCAAAAACATCACAGGATACAAGAAACAGAGTCAAACAACATCTCAAAATAGAAAAAGAGGGAGGAGTGGGGAAGTACCTGGGATTGCCTGAGCATTTTGGTAGAAAGAAGAAAGATATGTTCTCTTCAATTGTGGATAGGATGCAACAAAAAGCCTTAAGCTGGACTAATAGGTTTCTCTCATTGGCGAGAAAGGCTACTTTGCTACAGTCGGTGCTTTCTCCTATCCCAAGTTATGCTATGACCTGTTTCGAGCTTCCAGTTAGTCTCTGCAAACGTATTCAATCGGTCCTCACCAGATTCTGGTGGGATTCAAAGGAAGGGGAAAGAAAAATAAGTTGGGTCTCATGGGACAAACTTACACTGCCAAAAGGACTCGGAGGAATGGGATTCAGGGATATCCGAACTTTCAACCATGCTTTGCTTGGCAAGATTGCGTGGAGAATTATTAAGAAGCCGGATAGTCTTCTTGCTAGAATCCTGGTGGGAAAATACTGCAACTCAGCTTCCTTTCTCACCGTCAACGCCACCACTTCGTCGTCACACGGCTGGAAAGGAATCTTAAAAGGCAGAGATCTCCTACTCCAACATTTGGGTAAGGCTGTAGGAGATGGAGAATCCACAAGTGTGTGGAAGGATGCTTGGATGGATCCAGGTTCAAATCTCAAACCCTTTGGTCCTATCCTGCAACAAGATCAAGACCTTCTTGTTTCAGACCTTCTTCAACGAGAGACCAAGGAGTGGAATAAATCTAAAGTGGAGAACCTTTTACCTGAATTGGCTTCGGTCATTCTATCCTTGCGACCTAGCAAGTTAGGCAACAAAGACACTTTCATCTGGAATCTCCAACGGTCTGGAGAATACACCGTCAAGTCGGGGTATTTTGCTCTGCACAATCCAAAGATCCAATCGACATTATTACTCTTGGATCAGAACATTATGGAGTGGAATTGGAACAAACACCTATGGTCTACACAACTCCTACCAAAATTAAAATTGTTCCTCTGGAAATTATGTCACAAGGCGTTACCTACCAGTGATAATCTCCAGAGGCGGGGTATTCATATTGAATCAGGCTGCTGTAGGTGTGGTGAACCGGAGACGATGCTTCATCTCTTTTTCCAATGCGATTTTGCAAAGAAAATCTGGGATCTTGGCCCCTGGAATCATGGCATTGAGTTTTCAACCTTCTCCTCGTTTAAGACAGCGATTATCGCGTCAGGTACTTGGAAGCCTCTCCCTCTTTATGGGTTCACCAGCAATGCTCTTCCTTGGATTTGTTGGTTTATCTGAATCTCCAGGAACAAGCTTCTCTTCGAGAAGATACCGTCATCTCCAGAAAGCGTGATACTAAAAGCCCTCATCGCAGTCAAGGAATGGGACCAAGCACAGCTGACCAAAACCAATCAACCTCTTCAACCAACACTCGTGCCGATAGAACTCGAAGATACCACTTCGAACCCTCTCATGATCTATTGTAACACAGATGCGGCCTGGAAAGAGGGAGAAGCAGGATTGGCGTGGATCTTCACAAACAATGAAGGATCGGAACTGAACAGAGGCTCTCAATACCAGGATCGAGTCTCCTCGGCTTGCATGGCGGAAGCGATCGCCATCAGATGTGCTCTCCTCAGGGCAGTCGAACTCAATTACCACCATATCTGGCTCAGATCAGATTCACAAGTGCTCATCGGAGCAATCTTATCGGGACGAAGACCGACCGAACTCTATGGAGTGCTCTCGGACATCGCCACGATCGCACAATCTTCTTTCTCGTCTTGTCGTTTCTCGTTTATTCCAAGAGGGAGTAATGGGCTTGCGGACTTAAATGCAAAATCTTGTTTGTATTCTGGCCCAACCCATAACCACCTCTGAGACTATTATCTATTTTATAAAACCAACTTGTTGTCCAAAAAAAAAAAGATGAAAATCCGTCTATTAGTTGAAAACTTGTTATTTGAAATATATAGCAAGAAATATATTATTTATTACTTGAAGCTTTATAATTGTGATACACATTTAAAAATGTACATTCTTTAAGAAAATATAAACAAAAACATCATTATATATTTATCTTATCACAAATCAATAAATAGTAAATAAATAAAAATTAGAAAACTAATAAATTTTACCTTTCAATTTGAAAACATCTTCTACTTTGAAACAAAAAAATTCGCTAAAACGTCATGTGTTAAACACTAGAAAATAATAAATTTGAACTAATTTATTCCAGAGGAGGTTCGTTCTACCTAAACTTTATTACATTAGACTAAACTTTATAATTTATTCCAGAGGAGTTCCAACTTTGTTGTTTGTGTGACCATGAATTTATCTTAGTGGTGTATGTTAATACTGTATTACCATCTGGATTTAAGCAAACGTTTGTATTATTAACCAAAAGCTTTCATTGTTAGTGTCGGCAAAGGAAAGTTAAACCTAAATATGTATTTAATGTTGTTTTGACCAAAAATGGATTTAATATTGTGAAAACAATATTTAATGATTAGTGAATGTGTTTTTGCTTTAATTTGTTGTATTAGCAAGTTAAAAATGTAGCTTACATCACTTGTTATATTACTATTGGTCCATGTTTAACGATTAGCAAATGCGTTTCCTCGCATTATTTTATCCTATTGATTTTTTGAACATATGAACAACGAGGAATATTGGTTGACGAAACACTTCCTGCTCTAGTAAGGTTCAGAGAAGTTGGGCAATTTGTAATTATAATATTTCGGCCATGTTTTATTTCGTTATATATACATATAATTGTTGGGGTCAAAATCGGTACGATGGAATTAATAGTCAAAACTCCCCGCAAAAATATAAAAGGAATAGTTTTATAAAACCCGAAGAGTCGTTTTATAAAACTCGAGAAGCCGTTTTATAAAACCCGACGGTCGTTTTATAAAACTCGAGAAATCGTTTTATAAAACTCGAGAAGCCGTTTTATAAAACTCGAGCATCGTTTTATAAAACTCGAGCATCGTTTTATAAAACTCGAGAAATCGTTTTATAAAACTCGAGAAGCCGTTTTATAAAACTCGAGCATCGTTTTATAAAACTCGAGCATCGTTTTATAAAACTCGAGCATCGTTTTATAAAAATCGAGAAGCCGTTTTATAAAACCCGAAGATCGTTTTATAAAACTCGACAAATCGTTTTATAAAACTCGAGAAGCCGTTTTATAAAACCCGAAGATCGTTTTATAAAACTCGAGAAGCCGTTTTATAAAACCCGAAGATCGTTTTATAAAACTCGAGAATCGTTTTACGAAAGCGCAAAAAACCGAAAAAGCCATAAAACGCGAACTAGTCACGACTAGTTCGCCCATGGACGAACTAAGAGGCACTCGACTAGTTCGCCAATTGGCGAACTAGGAAATGCTCAACTAGTTCGCCAATTGGCGAACTAGGAAATGCTCAACTAGTTCGCCCATTGGCGAACTAAGCTGGCCCGGCTTAGTTCGCCAATGGGCGAACTAGAAACTTCCTGGACGTCCCGAGCCTCGTTCTCTCGCACTCCCGATTCGAAATTTACGTCTTTCGACACGGTCGCATTCTGAACCACGGCCGGAACATCTCCCGTTCCATCTCGATCCGACCAATCGTTCGAGTTTTACGATAAAAACCGTAAAAACTTCGCTTTCTCGACAAAGAACTCGAAGAAATTGTATAAAACGGCGACGATTAAACGAAACGCCGAACATTGCCTAAAACATACGATTTATTCGAGATTTCTCGTCGAAATCATAAAAAGCGCGTTTTTAATAAAAACGTCGAGTAAATCGTAAAAAACGTGTTTTAATAAAAAGTCGAGTAAATCGTAAAACCTTACGATTAACTCGAGGAATTTATTAAAAACGATGTCGGATCAGGAAACGATCCCGTAAAAAGTCGGAAAACGGATTTATCGCAAAACGGCCCGGAAGGGCCTAAAACGCGATAAGAAACCCATCTCGCGATCTTAACGGAATTTAACCCGCAGATTCGATAACGTTTTGACGGTTTACTCGCAGGAGGAAAATAAAAGACAAGTTCGAAGATAAAAGGAAGGTTTGAAGAAAAATAGAAGATTTCCGCGGAAGAAAAGGAAGGATCGAGAAAAATGGAAAATTCCCGATTTAGTCAA